GCCAGCCTGGAACGCCGAGGTGATGTTACTCGAGATGTTGTTGGAGTTCTCCGAGGTGATTCCAAAGTCTCTCTTGAAACCAGTTCGTGCGATTGTGGTTCCGATGAAGGCGGAGTCGTAACCGAACCTAAGGACTGTTAGTTATGTCACCTTCTAAATCAAGTCTCGTCGCATCATACAGCAAAGATCCGGTTGCGATAATGGAAGCCTCAATGTAGAGACGCCAGTTGTAGACCTCCTTCGGCGTCGGCCGATCCTCGACAGCCTTGAAACCACCCATGATTTCGTTGCTGCGGTGCGAAGAGGTGGTCGTAGCGGGTGTGAGATTTGTCGAAGACGTTGGGAGCCGTCCGATTGATTATCTAGACTTCAACACACGCACGGGGATCACACTTTTTCCGGGGGCAGTTTGGCTGTCAAAGAGTATTTATCCTGCCCTCCGTCCGACGTAACCAGTCGGATCCCATCCCCACGGGGTACTCGGGTGGAGAAAACATGGAGGACTTTGGAGTTGTCTCCCAGGTCGCGTCGGACGGCGCCAACGATAAATTTGGGGGTGGGTTTGACTCGCGTCAGTGGCCGCCGTGACCAACTGACAGCCCAGAATCCCAGGGACCGGCCTTCGGAAGTCGTCCGTCGACGATGCCACGAACGGGTTTTTGCAGCCGAGTAAGTGGGGTTTTGCCTGGAGCTAAGTTCTGGCACAAAGCGGTCATGGACCGAGGTAGTCTTTGTTAGTGCTGACTCCTGACTCTGGCCACAGCCATCATCAGCAACTACAAGCCGTGAAAAGGGATTTCAGCCACGATCAATGTCAGGTGATTGCGCTGATGGTTCCCGACATTCGATCATGTTATGCGCGGCCCCACTGCGCTGGACTGACGATGATTCCACGGGCGTGACGGCGCTTCCGACATGCGACCCGACGCAACCCGACGCGACCCGACGCGAACTACCGGCGAGGCATCTCCACTTCGCACGTGGGAAAGGCGAACCGGATCCTCGGGTCTGAGGAGATGTAATCAAGAATTGACCAAGACACGTGAGATGAGCTGATGACGTTTGCTCGGAAAAACATTGTTTCGATGTCTTTCGTGTATTGGAATATCGTTGCTGGGTAAGCACAGGTTTCCCATGGTGTATACCTTTGAATAGACAACAACTATTGAATCGCTTCAAGGGGCAGATTTTCGAATTGCGCGAGAATCAATAGTAAGAGCCAAAAGATTCAGAGGCATTTAGTGTGGCTGAACCGTGGCTGGGTGGCTGAGTTCATAGCTTGAGTGCATTTGAACCATGTGGCTTGAACATCGCCACCCAGCAAGACGTCTTTACCTTGCCAGTTCCCGTCTATAATAAGCCTAGTGAATGCCTCTTGACAGAGTTTCCAGGTCGTCTAACTCACGCGAAACCGCAACATACCTATTCTTAGCCTACTTGTTCTTGGTTGCTGTTCAACCACCTCTAACTCCTCGATAGCTCTCAACGGGGTCACCGCTTAGCTTTCAAGCTGAGTTTAGCGATCCTGTACTACAGTATTTTACATATCTAAATGATGTCTGTGAAGAAACTCGCGGTTTCATCGTTCTCGTGATGAAACCCTCAACCCGTGAGATTGACCCCGGGCTTGATGATGAAGTTTCTAACAAAAAGCACTTCGAGCGCTTATCAAACTTCCCGAATGATTTTCATTGGTCTGTAATTACACGTAGCATTCCACTTTGCTGCATTCCATCGAGAAAGCGAGCCAATCAATCAACGACACGCCCGTTCGCCAAGTGCTTACTGCATCTTCATTGAACTGATCAGGCTGGCACTCCTTAAATCCTCACTCAACTCGTGAACTACAACCTGTCCACCAGCCTCTCGTCAGCTCACCAAATGAGATGGATATTGTTACTCGAGAATCCTCCGTCTCCTTCGGCGAAACTACCGCCACGACCAATGACGACGTACCCGATACGTGGGCTGAAAGATATCTCGCAGCTGATGGCGATGATGTCGGAGCCGATTCAGATCTTGTTCAAGAGGTTGAGAAGGATGAAATCGACCATCAGAGGAGATACAGAGGCTCGCACATGCGATGACCATCGTGGACGGATTTTGCGGCAAGTGTCGAGATCTGTTGCAACACTGGCCAGACCTATCGATCGGAGGTTGGGCTTTGACGCGAGGACGCTCCTTCAGTAGCGTTTGCGAGATCGAAGCGGCAGCCAGTGCTGGATGCGAATTGTGTGCCTTGATACATTGGAGATTAGTCTACGCGGGACTATTGCTTACCTTTCAGAGGATCGAACGGCGGCTCAGAGCGTTCGGTCACAATGGCTTCACATCCTTGGCCATTCAGAACTGGGGCGAAGGGCCACTCAAACCGCATATTATATGGTTAAACTTCCCAGGGAAGGAGGCCACTCACTGCAATAATCCTGGCGCTCAACCTACTTGTTTCTACTCTGATTTGATACAACCATCATGTAAGCGCACAATACATGTATTGCCTTACTCGAGAATCCATTAATGCGTGCTTGGGCTAATACATATAGATTCGTCCTGGCAAGAGAACCGTGACGCATATGACCTTGCTAGAATGTGGCTGCGTGAATGCAATGCCTCTCACGAAATCTGTGTCAGTCAAAAAAAGTATGATTGCCCTGCAAGGCTACTCTTTTTTGACTGCGATTATGCCAGAGTGGTGCACACTGAAGCCCTCAATACCATGCCCCAATACGCTACACTGAGCTATTGCTGGGGTCTCAGGCCATTTCTGAGCCTGACTCAGAATACGATGAAGTCGTTTCTGGAAGGTGTTTCTGTCAGCGATCTGCCACAAACGTTCCGAGATGCTATTCATGTGGCGAAGCAACTAGGACTTTCGTACATCTGGATCGACGCTCTTTGCATAATTCAACATGATCCCGAAGATTGGTCCATTGAATCCAGCCGCATGAGATCTGTCTACGGCAATAGCTATGTCAACCTCGCCGCATCCTCCGCGACCAACGTAGACGAGGGCTTCTTCTCGAAAACAGAGCGCTACAAGTACTACAGTGGGGGACTCTATGCTCGAGTCAGCACGAGCAAGTTTAGTGCAGTTCGCAATTTCTATGGTGATACCGTGTATGATGAATCCTTCACGTACACGCATTTGGCCACTCGAGCCTGGACTCTACAGGAGAGGCTTCTCCCCGCCCGTACAATTTACTTTGGCAACACTGGTATTTTCTGGGAATGCAGGTCCGGCTTCCGATCAGAATTCCTTCCGCCTGGGATTCGAGGTCTAGCCAGATCACACCTCGTCTGTCCGGAAGACCGAGCTTGGAGGTGGCGTGACATTGTCTCCCAGTATTCTCGCGCTCAACTTACAGATCCTGAGGATCATCTACCCGCTTTGGCCGGTATTGCTAGACGTCAACACGAGGTCACTGGTCACCAATACCTCGCAGGCATGTGGAGAGAGTCTCTTGTCACCGAACTTGTGTGGGCAGTTATTGGACGTCGAAGAAGGCCAGCTTGGAGAGCCCCCTCTTGGTCATGGATGTCCGTCGACAGCCCAATATTGGCATGGGGATGGGACATCGACTTTAAGGATCATCGCGTCGACATGGAACAGTACATCAGCGTAACTGATGCATATACTACGCTGTCTAGCCCGGATTGTTTCGGCAAAGTGAGTGACGGCTTGCTTTCGCTAGCGTGCTCCGTTCTTATGCAAGCCCGCCTTCTTGGGGCTACCAAACTCGAGGAAATATCCGACGAAGACGAGACGTATCACTACCAATTTGTCAGCGTCAATGGAGCGAAAGAAAGATTCCCTGTCTTTATAGACGCATTGAGCGACGAAGGGGACTGCGATGAGGTCTACTTGCTCCCGATTTACGGTGAGGTCTACTTGCTCCCGATTTACGGTGGATCATGGGGTTCCAGGCGGGCACGGACGCGACCTCAGAGCGAGGGAGAACCAAATGGCAATATGAAGGAGCACGAATTGGACGAGGAAAACGCATCAGATGACCTGGAAGAAGAATGGGAAGATCAGCTGACGATCTGTGGCCTTGTTCTCCGAGCCTGTGGTCAAAACACTGGTGATGGGGGTCGTTTTTGTCGTCTTGGGTCATTCAATCTGAGGAATTTCGACACGTACCCAAATGTTGATGAAGACCCAGAGAGAGACTACTATGAGGAGTTCATTCAAGCGTTAGATGGAAGAGGACATGAATCAGTTGATACCAAACGTCCAAATGAACCAATGGACAACGGCTATGTTCAGCGAAACTTGAATATCACAGTTGAGTAAGGGAGTGGTAGTGGTAGTCATAATGTTCCATGGGACAACGTCAGAGAAGAGGTCTACGATTTCTCCCCTGAGAATCTGTGGTGCAGGGCGATATCGAAACTCAGATGAAGTACACTGTTGTCGCCTTTGAAATTGGACATCTTCACCTTGCCTCTCCTCCGTACCGGAAGGTCTTTGCCCAGGCCCACACATCACCACCAGTCAGAGCCGTTTTGTTTCGGGTATCTCCCGGCTTCCAAGAGCTGCCCACCACCGCTGAGAGTTATCAAAAACGTGGACAGCTCATACCTTCCTTACACAAAACTTCTCAAAACGGCTTTGTATTTGAGGGATACTGATCAAGGATGCTGGAGGCTTCAATGAGGCAGGAACTAAGTCTCGAAGTGCTAGAACAAACTAAATCTCCACTGTCAGCGGATGCATTGTTCTATAAGGCATATTGCTGTGGTTGATCGTCGCAGAGGTTACAAATCACAGCAATGTCAATGGGAGCAGTGAACTGCGCGTCATCGGGACCGCACCTCCCACAGAGATCAAAATGGATTCTGTCGATCTATGAGAAGACATGGCTGTTGCCGAGCTGAACGGAATTCTCTATAGCGAGGTGGTAGATTAAACGAGGATGGCTTGTGTCTGGCTGGTATCTCATTATGTACATGTTGCCCCGCTCGATCAATTGCTTCATGAACATCCGCCTTGCCTACTCCTAATAACACTGTTCAAAAACGTCAGTAATGCTGCAGACTTGGGATCTGAGAAGACACATGACTTACGCAACCCTCAAATCCGCCATCGCCGCAAGCGGAGCCTTCGTCATAGGACATTAAGCAGTCGCCTCGCCAGGTGTGACGGTCACCGCCCTCTGCCTCGCTACAACAGAAAGTGTTGCGGTCCTATTAGAAAACCACATGTCAGTGAATTCAGATCCAATCAGGTGTACATCTCGTTCTTGTACAAACATACAGGGTACAAGGCCTTGCAGCTCAGATGGTTCGCTTCCTTGCCGTAGGAGGTGCACCACCACGCATTGGCGGATCCAAGCAAGAGAGAACCGACGGAAACAACAGTAGCGAGCTTCATGTTGGCCAGATATGCGAGCGATAGTTGGAAAATGAAAGACGGAGCGGTTGGTTACTACAACTAGTGACGACTGCACAGGTGAGTAGTTCTTATTGGTTTGTATATGTATGTTGTAGATCTTGACTCATGACTCAAGCATGGTAGTCTCGCTTGAATGCATTGATTAACGGGCGTCTCCTCCTGGTTAGGCCCGTAGGGTTTATGACGAGTCAGAGACCACTCACCGCAATACTTAAGTTCAATGCCCGCCTCAATCAATATGGCTGAGACTTAGAGCAGATGCCCTTGAAAGATTTCCCTCAATAGCGGCATGCAGCTATTCACAGAACACGATGATGTTGTCGTTATCTACACAAAAGATCAAAGGAAGACTGTGATTTAGGCTGCTCCGGGTTGCGGATTGACTTGATTCCCTTCGGGCTGTCAAGACTTTTGGAACACCGAATAGGAAAATTAAAGAAGCGCCTGCTCAAGCTCTGTCAAGCCTTGCTCAAACCTTGTTCTATCCCGCAGAAGCGCATGTCAAGGCGGCAGGCAATCGGACAAACCGCAACCTTAAGAAGCGGACCGTGGTGGATGGAAAGGCATCACAATCTGCAGATCCACTCATCTTTTTCCCTCTTTAATCTGTTATAGCAACTTGCGGCTAACCGGCCCCTGATGAGTACGTCATCCCGTACTACCACGTGACCCAGAACAGGACAGTTGAACACTTAAAACCACTGCACTCAAGAACGTTTGCTTTCTTTCTTTTTTTTTTTCCTGACATTCAACTCTACTTGTTCTGTATCTAGAGGCTTGTGAAGAATTTGCTTTTTGGTGTCATGTCGGGAGCCGATGGGATACTTTCTGATGCTATTATTACGCCGATGTTCGATTCCCATGTCGAACAAGAGGGCTATGCCAGAACAGGAAGCTCAGGCCCAGAACACCCCACTGTTTCATAACCTAGCACCACCACACAGCCAGCCCGGAAATAATCACAGGTGTTGCATCTAAATCAGTAATCGGCCGAGAATAACGGATTACTCGTACATCGTATCCGGAACCGCGGGAAAACAGCACCAGAGGCTTACAATCGTAGGCTTCTGCCGCAACTGTCCATGCCGAAACCAGGCGACTACCGCCTGTGGCCTAAATTTTCACCACATCGTGCCTGAGACCGGTTGCTGTTGTTCACGTAATTGTCCTCCCGGCAGCTCCATCGACTTCAAGGGGTACTCGATAAGTACCGTGGTAACTAAAAGATACAGTACCTATGCTGCTAGCGTAAGATTTCCTTGGGAATTTTGTCCCCGGGGGTCTTCAAAAACGGGAACCCGGGCTCCCGTCCATGATCAACGCCGTTCGTCTGTTGTCACGGCCCAGAGGTGAGTTGAAGTGACGGTGTCCGTCCAATGCTCCGAACTCGGGTAGATCCCGGTGTATGGGTTACGCATGTCCAAGCGTTCCTCGGCCCGCCGGACCATCCTCATGATGGCACCTAAAATTGATAGTACTGCGCTGTGAGTTAATAGCAGCAATTGACTGAACGTGTGCTAAACTACCTGCTTCTATCAACCAAACATACAGCGCAGTGCCATCAAAACTTTGCCGGGAAGCCATCGATTACTGACTATCCCGCCGGATAATTCCCCCGTCGCAGCTTGTGTCTCTTCGCGCAGGCGGCCAAAGTGTCCGTAAAGTGGATTATCCAACTGCTCGTATGTCGTACAGACAAAGAATAAAGTTTTCGCAGAGTCCGCGAGGGCCTGGGATTGGAGAGGAGACAAATTACAGAGCGGATGGATCGCCCAAACCATAAGGCTAGCGTCTGCTGTATGGCTCTCGTGATATTTCAATTTTTCCCCTTTCGGGGACGAGTCAACCACTCATTGGATGCAGTCGCACTACGACGAGTCAGTGCAGTGGGCAATCTATCTCAAAAAGTTCGCGGACAGCGGGGTACTGTTCGCCCGATCTCGCAGATGATGTGATGCAATGGTTGAAAGATGGGCTCGTCATGCGTTCATGGCCAGTAAGCTTTTGTTGCTGGAGAGATGCGATGAGAGGTGTCGGATAGATTCACAACGCCGCATTCTATGCTAGAATTGCCGAGTGAGGACGTGATACTTCAGCCGTGATTAGGGCGTCTGGAGGATATGAGAAGGCAACCTTGAGGTTGGGGAAACCCTCGATACCGGCTTTGCAGCAGAGGTCTGCCACTCTGAATGGGATGCAGACCAACGCACGTTGATTCTCAACAAAGAAGTTACAAGTAAAGGCCCGAGAGAAAATTTGGCTACAGATGCCGCAAACTCTCTGTTTCGCAAATCCGAACAATGTGGATGTGACCAAATCGGCGTCTCCGTCATCGCGCTTCTAAAGATCCGCTGAAGATCTGCCAGGAGAACTGGCTTTCTTAACTCTCATATGTAAAGGTGCAATCTAGCCCCTACTGAACGGTAAGATCCATTGTCAAATTTTCTAGAGGCATGAAGCGGAAACTTCGGGGATGCCAGCCTATCTCATGACTATCGTCTACAAGTTTTACAACATCTGTGTTCATGACTAGGCCAGTGCTTAGCATCGCCAATGATTGGTCTTTGGTTTTCTGTTATTATCACATGCCAGCTAGCCATGTGCATGTAGTCACAAAAGTAGAGTACTAGAACTCTGACGAGACCAGCCACCTCTTGGGCTCTTGCCAGGCTGCGCTCCTTGGGGTGTATGTGGCTTGTGTGAATACAAGTCACTCGACGACTTCGACAAGGTAGCTATAGTAAGGTTGTATCTATGCAGATTTTAAGCGTCACCGAGGCAACAATACTTCCGAGCGTGTCAAGATACGTCGAGCTAGGCTAAGTCTCATGTCTCAAAACTCCTCATATGCAAACAAGATCGCTGAGCGTTAGGAGTGCTGCCAAAGACAACTATTCTGGGTTGAACAGAAATGACCTGTGCTTCACCGGGGGCAAAACACACGATCAGTTCCTGACATAAGCGGACTTTGGGTGCGCCATCACGCCCACGGCGGACGTCTTACCCGCTCATCTTGGGCAAGTACCACAAACCACACAAAGCCCAGCCGGTAACGCTGCCGGTCGAGACACGCGACACCATACCACGGGAGCCGCGGGGTGGGGACGGGATGGTTTTAAGCAGTGTGCCATTGGATGGCAGCTGTCAGGGCTGAGAGCAATAAGGCCATCGTCTGATGTTTCACAGGTCGCTGTAAGGGACATGAAACGCCGTGATGCAAGCTTATGACCGCTAGGCTTCTCCGTCTCGCTACCTGCTTACCAGGTAAATCCCACCGGAGGGGCCTGAGTCAGCAGTGTTCTCGCCTCCAGCTGGCGTCTGGTAGCTTGGTGGCACGGATCAGTTGACGGTGCGGTCATGGCGGCGGAAAGTCCAGGATGGGACGCTGTTACGTATGTGGATGTGCTGCGAGATCTTGGCCGTCGATGCCGGTTACCGACGTTGCTGATTTCTGCAAGTCAACGCTATCGTTACAAAACACACAAGAGGGAAATTGACATTGAGGGAAAGAATTCACGGTGATCTGCCGCGGGAGCGTTTAAAGTCGCCCAGATTTTGCGGGATGATCAGCATGATTTACCGATAGTGAACTTTCTTTCAGCGTTCGACCCCACCCATAATGCGACGTCTTATTAGGCGTCGAGCTGACACCCACTGTAACGATCATCACGCGTCTCAGACTGTTTGAGGGAGGTGCGCTGCCCCGGGTCCCCTCGTAGTGGGCAGAAATAAGCTAGAATTGAAGCTTAGAATGGGCGACTATAGGATGGCGAGGTGTTGGTGAAATGGGAGATATAAAGCATCATGAAGAACACCATCAACATTGTGCCCATCATCCAACTCATCAGTCCTTTCGTCGCAATAGACTTGTTTCGATTTTTTCAATTCTCTTAGTGCCCGGAGCATCTACTTTTAATACCCTCGTCTCATCGTTTTTGAGTTACTCAACATTCCAACAACCGCCATCATGCAGATCACCGCCGTCTTCCTCACCGTTGCTGCCTTCGCCATGGGCCATGCTGCCGCAGGTACGGAACTTCCGTCTTCTCGCAACTCCAAGCCTAGCGCAAGTTCAAACCCTCGCTGACACTGATCTTTCGTATAGCATCTGTTCCCCGTAACTTCATCGACGGCAAGGGAAGCGCTCTCTTCGGCAACGTTGGAACCGCATGCAGCGTCGGCAGCAAGGATGGCGAATGCGACCGTTTCGGCCGTTGCGTTCAGGAAATTCCTCCCAACGAGGTCTCCGTCCTCAACCAAGGCAAGACCGTGGATACTTGCACTGCCGGCGGACAAACTGGTACCCTGTAAAATGCCTCTGTCAGTGACTTGAACGAGGAATTTGAGGCAGTGAGTTTTGGGGGACAAACCTCTCTCGGTAGTTTAATCAGACACACTTGCTCTCGTTCTCTTGATCGATCTCGTTCGATGCCTCATTTGCGTTGCCCACCTCTCTGTTGTTGCTCCGGCCGATCCTTTGCGCGATGAACGGGCACAATGACTACCTGGCTCGGCCCCCCCGGTATCGAGTCCATCTCGAGGAACTTGGATTGCCAGCTGAAGCCAGTTATCGCGGCGCTACTGTTCGCAGGAGGCATGGCTTTGTTGGGTACTACTGGGCGAGGTACCGGGCGAGGATGCTGGACGGCAGCGGCTGGGCGCTTGGGTGAGACCATCTCGTTCGCATGTCGGACTGAGTTGAGAAGATGGAGATGACGGAGTGTCTCCATTTGGATGGGATCAAAGTTGAGGATCGATTGGGAAGGAGGTGGAAGCGGTCTTTCCTGAAGAAGATCCCGAGCAACTTTCAGGATGGGCTCAGAGGCAGAAGGATCTCTCGACATGAGGCCATTGAAGTATTCGCGGGCCTTCTGACGCTGGTAGTCCTGTTCAGTGTCAGTAACATTGTCAAAGAGCGCGTGGTCTTTGTGAGTGAGGTAGGTGCGAACAGATCACATACCTCGTTGCTGGGGTCAATGGAGCCTCCACGGGCGACAGTTTGGTCCTCCTTGTGAGCTGTGGCGTCGCTTGTCTGGTCTTGTTCGTCAGGCGAATCCTCCGGAAGCGACTCATAATCATCGACCTTGTCCGAATGGGCCTTGACACGCTTCTTCAAGTTCTTGTAGAAATCTTTGATGTCCCTGATGAACTGATTGTCTCTGTTATTGAAGACTCCTCTTGGCTTCAGGGTGCCTGAATTTGCAGCTGATCGAAAGCGGGCGTTGATGGTCTGGATATGTGTGTGAGAGATGCGCCGACGGGAACTTTCACTGCTGGCAAAACTCACCTCCAAGTGGGAGCGCGCCATGTTGTGATGGTTTGTTTAGGGTTAGTGTTGTTGAGGTGAAGGTTGAAAAGTTTGAGAGTTGACGCGGCGAAGGTGAAGTTCAAGATTCAGTGGTGGCAGTCCATCAAGCAGCTGAGTGTTACTTGGGAAGGAGGTGTTGAGAGCAGCTCCTTCCGTTTGTTGCAACTGACACTGACCAATCACAGCAATGGATGGGCAAGTCAAGAGCTCACTGATTTCTTTCAAGGAAAACTTCTTTTAGCGGGTGCGGCTCAAGAGCAAGCCAAATAAACAATACTTTTGTTTTCTTCCCCTTTTCATCATTTGTCCACTCTGCTGAAAAATAACCCTACGCAGATGCCTCCTCATCCAGTTCCGGGTAGTGGCGGTAGATACCATCGCTATACTTCTGTCTACGATCGCTGGCAAGGTACTGCTTGATCTTGGGGCGCTCCTTGACGGCTTCGTAGAGTTCGAAAACCGCCTTATACTCGCCGCTTCCCTCGATTCGCTTCAGCGCGTTGGGGAACGCGAACTTGACGCCATCGACACACTGCTTATGTCAGCACCACCCTTCAACCTGCGTGCGTCGAAATGAACTCACCTGGAACAGAACCAGGTCGGCATACGTCAAGGAGCCTCCGTACAGCCACCGGCCCTCACCGCTGGCTTTGCCCTTCAGAACCCTCTCAAAGTAGCCCAGGAACTTCGGCAGGCGGTTCTCAAGGTAATCTTTCGCCTTCCTCTTGCTTTCCTCCTTCTGATCGTCGTAGTAAAGCCCCGTCGCAATCGGGTGATGAGTGTCGTGAACCTCGTTGCTCAGCCCGTCCAATGCGGTCAGCACAAGCGCGTTGATGCGGTAGATGCCGTCCGCGTCCTCGCCATCGGGCTTGGGGGCCAGGCCGGTGCGGGGGCCCAGGTACAGCAGGATGTTGGGTGTTTGGCTGATGACGAGGTCGCCGTGCTTGAGGATCGGAGGGGCCAGAGGAGGCGGGTTGTGGGCGTCTCCGGTGTTCTTGGCGTCGATTTGAGCCAGGACCGACTTCACGCCGTCCTCGATGTGCGCGGTGTCGGTGTACTCGGCGCCGGCCTCCTCGAGAGCGAGACGGATGTGCTCGCCGCGGCCGGGAAGACCAGGCCAGTAGATAAGCTCGTACGGGACGTCCTTGGAGGACCTTTGACGCTTGGCGCTGGGAGAAGTGGCCATGATTACTGAGATTAATTATAATAGATACGAGGGATCAGAGTTGTAGGTCAAGACGATGGAAGAGGGCTCGGTGTGGAAGAGGCGTTCGTGAGTTGAAAGAGGGAAGGAAGGCGAGACGAGCGTAAGATGGCGGTGAGATTGAGTTAATGTAACGAAAGGCAGGTACACGTTGTTACGTACGACGGGAGGTTGAGCATGAAGTCATGGCGCAGTCGGGTCAGCTTGCCGCCAGGGGCGACGGCGGGGTAGCGGGGCCTGTGCAGCCGATGGCGGGGCCATACGGCAGAATGACGAACGGCTCACCCGCCCCCGCTGTCCGTGACTTGAGCGCTGAGTACGGGCAGGCGCTTGCCAATTCGGAATGGAATTTGTTTCCAAAGTGCTACTGACAACTCAATCTCTTAATTTAGTTACAGAAGCATGACTTGGTCCAATTGAAGCACTAAAGAAAACGACCTGTGCTGATTGCCTGCATACGTCGTGCAACGCCCTTCTGTCAGCTTACTGAGAATGCCCCGCTTTTCGCGATGAGTCCCGCCCGGAGAAACACGACTCGGACAGAGTTCACCTGTGCATGTCTTGGAATGCACAGGTCGGATTTGCTGTTCAGCCGGAAATAGCCAACGTGTCTCAGATCCCGGCGTGGCTTGACTTTTGGTCCGTTTCGGGTTGGCTTACTGAGTTCCTCAAGCGAGAGCCCGCCGCCCGCGTGCCGCGAAACTACGGACTCTTTCTGCTTCCGCTGTGGATCTGACAAGGTTCCGATCCGATCCGAGTCGCCTGCCTGGGTCCGTCATGAGCATTGCCTGTGAGGGCGTGACGGGGCCATGGCCGTGTTGCAGCAGCAAACGATCCAACTTGGTTTACGTGGAACAAAGAAAGATCTTGTTTGGAAGTGAGAACGACAGAGTTTATTAAAATACCTTGTTGTATTTTGTGACGCCGGAACATCGGAGAAGGGGTGCTCGTCAATGAGATCCTAATGCGCCGAATCCCCCGGATGCACCGGTAAGGCGGGGCCAATGGCCACTCATGGCGCCGGCTCCGCCTCGGTTCGTAATCCGCACACCGAGATATCCACTTCGCGGAACCGCACCTGCGGCTCCGCATGTATGCCGCCCCCACCGAGCAATTGATCAATGCCTTCCCATGCCCCTATCCAGGTCCAGCTGAGGCAGCAACATGGCTTGAACCCACTGTAATATCGACCATCATAGCAGACGAATAGCCAGCGTGGCCTGCGGGAAGACCGCAACAGCGCATCTCGGACATTGCCCTATCAAGTCAGCTGGATTTGTGAAAAGTGACAGAGCGCGGGGCTGTTACGATACCCATCGGGCGGTGCATCGTCGACCAAACTTGACATAACCCCGGGCGAACCCCGCCTGCCAAAGGAATTAATCCCCATGATCAGTTGCAACTAAAAGTCACCCAACTTCTTCTGTAAAGTATCCTCATTTGAGGAGACGACTCACCTGTCACCAAGTAAGCTGGAGCCAACCCCGGACCCAAAATCAGCTGCTTCCCCCACATGCGGGTCAATACCCCCACCAATGTCCCTGACGTCGCCGAACCAACATGGAAGATCAGACCACGGATCCAGCGCACTTTTGGCAGTCAAATGATCTGATAAAATGATAGACTTTGCAGGATACCGTAGTCCGAGGCCCATCTCGCCATCTTACCTCGATCAGTAGGCTCACGAGTGACGCTATAACCTGTCTGTTACCACCCACATCTACGCTTGAAATTACACATGAAGCACTCTCATTCTCCAACTCTGCAATTGAATTTCCGCCCTCTCCGCAGTTTGTGTAGTAGCCATTGGAACCATTACTGAAAACCATCCGGTCAGCCGAACAACCCCGCACAACTCGCTCGCCTGGTCCTCACAATGGCAGCCACCTCGCGAGCAGCCAAATCATTCCTGCTACGCGCCTCGAGATCCCATCTCCCAGCGCTCACCGGCATCTCCTCAACCCTCCCCGGCAAAGCCTTCTCAGCAAGCCCCCTCACCCTGCGCTACCTCTCCACAATGAAAGCCCTCGTCTACAACGGCAACAACTCCGTTACCCTCCAGGACAAGCCCCTCCCGGACATCGTCAACCCGTCCGACGTGATCGTCAAGGTCTCCAAGACCACCATTTGCGGCACGGACCTGCACATTCGCAAGGGCGACGTCGCCACCTGCTCCCCGGGCCGCGTCCTCGGCCACGAGGGCGTCGGCGTCGTCCACAAGACGGGCGCCTCCGTCGCGCGCTACAAGGAGGGCGACAAGGTCCTCATCTCGGCCATCTCCAACTGCGGCACCTGCGAGTACTGCCGCCGCGGCATGTACAGCCACTGCACCACCGGCGGCTGGATCCTCGGCAACACGATTGATGGCACGCAGGCCGAGTACGTGCGCATCCCGCACGCCGAGAGCAGCCTGCACCCCGTCCCCGAGGGCGCCGACGAGGCGGCGCTGGTTATGTTGAGTGACATCTTCCCGACGGGGTACGAGTGCGGCGTGCTCTGCGGAAAGGTGCAGCCCGGCGGGACGGTCGCTGTCGTGGGGTCCGGGCCGATTGGGTTGGCGTCGATTATCACGGCGCAGATGTATGCGCCGTCGAAGATTATCGCGATTGATACGGACCCGAACCGGTTGGAGGTGGCCAAGAAGTTTGGCGCTACTGATGTTGTGGATAGCTCCAAGGGAACTGCTGTCGCTGACGTCAAGGCGATGACGGAGGGCAAGGGGTGCGACTCGGTGATCGAGGCTGTTGGCATTCCGGCTACGTTTGACCTCTGCCAGGAGCTACTGGCTCCCGGTGGCGT